TAATGGGGTTCTTTCCTAAACAGAAATGACAATTGATCATGATTTTTTACTAAATCTAATGCTTATTCAGTTAAATGACTTCCCAGTAACTTACACATGAATATAAATATGCATGAAAACTTGCCAAGGAATTTCACCCTCAGGCTACCTAGAAAGGGAAAGAGAATAATATTGTTGGGTTTATATTTCAGCATCTGATCAGTGTTCAGAGGATACGCAAGCAAGGTAATGTGGTTTTGTTTTGGTTTTTTAATTATTAAATTACACCTTTTTAAAAAAAATTATCTTGTATATCCAAAGAGAGCTTATGTTCACATAGTGTTTGTTTTTAAGGGAACGATCCCATTTGACCAGGAAACTTTGCCTTCAGAGATCATGGGCTTGCAATTTAAGCAAAGTACTGGAATGTTTTTCATTCATTTAAAGACTGAAGAAGAGCTCTGCAAGCCACTGCCACTGAAGTACTCTCAAAGTGCATTACAGAAAGAGGAAGCTGTTTGCCATGAAGGAGTTGGCAAATGTAGATTTTACAAGTTACGCATGTTGTGTGTTTTGCTGGCGCGGGGTTGGGGATGTTCCTTCTTCTTGGTTTTGTTTTAGTTTCCATTTCTTGGTGGTGGCAGTTTCTCTAGTAGTAGTCTTACTGATGCTTAGGTTCCAGATGTCAAAGTGTGTATTAATATGGAGAAGTCTCAAGTGCTGAGCAATCTGATATTGTTCCATTGTGCTGACATGTTGTTTTAAAATAGGAACAATTACTTCAGTTTTTCTGAATGTTCTTGGAAATATTGTAGTTTTGCAGAACTGGTATATCCTATGTAGCAGTGGCTGGGTGATTAATTACAACTTGTCGGATTCATTAATATTTTTGTAGTGGAGAGGCTGGTCCCATTAGTGATTCTGTCTCACAATCTAGCTGTTCTTTCCTTTTTCTGGAGCTGTTTGGTAGCTGTTGAACTTACTGAGAAGGCAGAGACAGCAGCATATATTTATTGTAAGATAAAACTGTCCACGGTTAGTGCAAATTTAGGACTAGTTTAAGAAGCAACAGAACTTGCGTCTAGCTCTATGCTTTGAATTATTCAAGGTCACTCCTGGCTTCTGCAGGTGTGAGCGTGTTATACAGCAGATCAGTGTGTGACACTGAGCTACCATTGTACGCAGTACAGTAAGAGACAACTGACTTCTAATGAATAAAAGAAAATTATTCTTACAGAATCACTTAATATAAGCATTCCTTTTTGAAACAGAACAGTTCAGTTAGATTTTCTTATCCTTTACTAGCCCACGTGTCACTGAAGGAGTGGCTTACAGCATAATTTCTAAAATTATTAATAAAAGTACACTGTGCTCAGGCTATGTCTGTGTTGTATAAATTTAGAGAAAATGTATTCTTATAATATGCCTTTCTAATGGGAATCCTTCTTGCTTGGGAGGACATCTTTGAATTTACTTTTTTTCACAAAACTAATTTTCTATCGAAGTACCAAGTTATTAACAGCAAAACTTTTTTTTAAACAAAAGTATAATTTAAAAGACACTTTTTCAGTAGATAGTGATGTATTTTTAGAAGCAGTCATTTACTGAACCAAATTAGATTTAACTCCAGTAGTAGTAATCTATAGGGATATTCAGAATGCTCATTTTGCAATACTTTTATGTCTTGTTACTAATGCAAGTCCATTTGTCCTAATTTGTGCCTGTGACACTAATGCTTAATGGTAGGTGTACCAGCTTTTTGGCAGATTCAGAGTTATCTGATTCACCTTTCAGAAGCAATTTAAAGGGAATGGCTAATGCTTTGGAATTTTGTTTCTAAATCCACTGCATTAGATATTCATTACAGCAATAAGCTTTTTGATACATGCTGTGGACAGAAATGTAACCACAGTTCATTTAGTCAAAAATATCTATTAAGTTGACTATTATAATTTTTTCCTGAGTTTTGTTAGGGAGGAAATCTTGCTAAATTGGGTTAAATTTGAGGCAAGAATGTATCATTTGGGGACCGGCATTTTAAAGATGGTGTATAGTTCAGCTTTGTATGCAGCTCATATCTGGCATAGGTTAGGTAGCCATATGTGAAATCGAATTGTGTTTGTAGAAAAAGTCTTTTTAATCACAAAGATAAATCAAACCAGATGGTCCAGATTTTTTTTTTTGTGAATGCATTTGCTTAGTCCGCAGTCTTCAAGCATTGGGAATAAGGATTTGCTGGGGGGTTTTTTCTTTCTTACTATGAAATACTAAGGTTTCACTTTAGTCTTCTACAATTCAGCAATCAATTCTAAAAGATTCTAGTGATAATAAATTCTGAGTCAGAATTACTTCCAGTTACACTTTCTGATAACTGCTAATCTTTGTGCTTCCTTTCCTGAGAAGATAAGGCGGTGATGGGTTTTTTTTCTGGTATTATTAGCTAATGTTTCATCAGAGTTGTATGTGAAGTGACGGGGAATTCTGTAAGGCTTTACCAAACGTACATGTCTGGTATGAAAATATAAACATTGGCTTACATTTAACAGAGCATGCTATACTGTTTCTCAAATAGCATACGTCTCTTCCAGTATAATATTCTGTTGTTGATTTATGTTAGGCCTTGTTTTATTAAACAGGTTTAAACACTCAAATACTATTTTACAAGTGAACCACGATCTTTTTATCAAGTATGAGTAAGGTTTTGTGCTGTTGATATGCTGTTACTATGGCTGATAATTGGAAGTTTTTAAATTATTTATGATCTTGCTTTAGGACAGATTTAGTGCAGAATGTAAAGGTCACAATCACATAGTACAGAAACCGGGCCTGATATTTTTCTCCGCAAAGATTGGACTAGCAGACTTGAAGAAGAATTCTCATATCATTTATGATTTGGGGGAGGAAATAGGCAAGAAAATTGAAATTGCTGTCAGCTGGGAATCCTAGCTTTGCAGCATCCAGGGGTTTTGTAACATACTCATTAGAAATACGAGTAAGCACATTGTCCTTTCTTTTTGTGTAGGGTTATAAGAAAGCTGTTAGTGCCCTAAATGACACCAATCTTGCATGAAATGTTTTACGGTACATCAGCGAACTGGCCTTTCGCTATTGGAGGCGAGATGGTCCAGAGCTGCTTGAGCCAGTGATATACCATCATGTGCTTAAAAACATACTTGTAGCCTAGGGGAATGTACTCTGCTTAAAATCATTCCTTATACAGATACCAGGACATAGAAGTTATTCCTATCTCTTTCTCTTCTGCGTCCAAGAAAGAAA